CGGGCTAATTCGTTTTAGTCCAATTAAATTTTTGTCCAAAATCTCAAATTAAAAATACATGAGAAACTTTATAAATATTCTTGATTTTTGTAGTTATAGTTATGTACTTTGTATATTGAAACTTTTCGTGCATTTTCATTGTACATTTTGATATCAAAATACATTATAAAATAATATATGTACTCTCTAAGTTTTCTAGAATGAATCTCACTCCAAAAGAGTGAAAAGTCACTCCATAGAAAATTTAGAAAATGTATAAATTCATATAAATGTAAGAATATATATATCACCTAGGTAGCAAGCTAGTGTTATTTATGTGCAGTTTGCAACCTGGGAAAAAGAAGACCGCTGAAATTGGCGGGGGTGGTGGAGGGCCTCTACGGGCTAATTCGTTTTAGCCTAATTACATTTTTGTCTAAAATCTCAAATTCATAATATATTAAAAACTTTTCAAATATTCTCGATTTCCGTAGTTATAGTTATGTACTTTGTATTAAAACTTTTTATAATACATTTTTATTGTATATTTTCATATCAAAATACATTATAAAATAATATATAAATTGTATAAACGTAAAAAAATACATATCACCTAGGTAGCAAGCCAGTGTTATTTGTCATTATATTGACAGCTTCTAGTTACTTTGGACAAAAGAGGACCGTTAATTAAATTAACGGGGGTGGTGGAGGGCCTTTACGGGCTAATTTGTTTTAGCCCAATTAAATTTTATATAAAATCTTAAATTAAAAATATATAATTGGAAAACTTGTCAAGAATACTTGATATCTGTAGTTAGACTTTTTATGTATATTGAAACTTTTTATTGTACATTTTGATATCAAAATATATTACATAAAAAATAAAATATAAATGTATGTAATCTTAAAAAAATACATATAATCCAAGCAACATACTATTATAACTTCGCTGTTGTGCATTTTGTGATATTAGTGCAATCCGAAAGAGTTGTGACAATCTCTGAGAAAGTGGAGGAAGAGGCTTGACGATTCGAAAAGAGGAGACGGAGGCTTAAGAGAAGCATCGGGCTCCGGCGGAGCAACTACTTAGGGTATTATTTTTTTTATTTGTATAAAATTATTAATAGCTCATTTGAATCACTTTTTATCTCAATAAGTTACAAATAATTAAAGAAAGAGAATTATTATTTCTCTCTCTTTTTCTCTAAAATTGTATAAAAATTTATTCTTAATTGTAAAGCTTTTTTTAAGAAAATGAATAATTAGTAAATATCTGATTGAAAGACGTATTAAAAGTTTGATGCACGTAAAAATTATTTTTTACAATGTTGATTGAAGCATGTTTTAATATAAATTTATATAGGTATTACAGCGTACTCAACGTAGCTACGTGGCAGATACATATAACTCGATCTGCTGTTGCGCATCGGATCATTGAGCGACGATTTTATCTGCACATATATTTTTCTTCTCCCATTTCCAGAGTACTTTGCTAATTTCAGACATATTTGCTTAATGATTAAGTAACATACAAATACACTTTTTAGTAGATTTTGAAAATGCATATAATTTTATGCATATTTGTATACGAATTTTGTATCTATTATTATTATATTTATATACGTAAACAGTCATATTATGATGAATAATAATAATCAAATAATACGTAAAGTAATAATAATTAAGTAGACAATTACAGTATAATACTCTATGTATGTTCTGGGGATCACTTGAAAATTTCAATATAAACATGTCGAAACTATAATATATAACAGCTGCTATCAGCTCACAATTATTTCTCATATACATTAGAATTCTTATACAGTTCTTGAGAAGCCCGTCATACACTCAGAATTGGTAAATTAATTTCATATAAAAAAAATGAGAAGTTCATGTAAATGTAGATAAAAATTTATTTCGTATTAGGTATAACGTTATATTACATAACAAAATATATTACATATGCATATACAAAAATTATGGTTCAATTAACAATAAAAATATCAATAGTGAAGAAATCATGACTGTACAATACAATAACTGTTTAAATCAATAACATTTAGTATCTCAATAAATTGTAATAGATAACATAAATAGACACTTGAAGTATTATAATTATATTATCTCTAATTATATGCTTAACAAAATTAATGCAGTATAACTCAATCTTCGTTTTTCATCATCTGAAGGAAACAAAGATTTTTATAGACAGAAATAAATATTTTTATTATTAAAAATTAATTATTAATTTAATATTAATTCCTAATAAAAAGTAAATATAACAGTTTCATTTTGTATAACAAATATAAACGTGACAGAATAAGAAGACTGAGTCGACACATTAGATAAAATTACATAAATTCAAGCTTGTCTTTTCTGAGAAAGACAACAATATTCCGCATAGTTTTTTCCGCGTCGTTTTTTTATCTTTTTTTTTTAAAGGTTTATATAACTATAATATGTTGTTACAAATCTTTATATTCGTTACTTTGTATTATTTATATTGCACAAGTTATTTATCTTTCTTATTCTTCAAAAACACTAACAATAAATAAATTATGTAACGTAAACGAAAGAAATGACGAATATAAAGATTTATAATTTTATATAAATAGGATTCAGATTATCGCAATCGCAAAGATTTGCAATAAGAATTAAATATTATATTAATTTTATTTGTTAATTAAGTATTTGATATTTCTCCGCTTTTTACATTTCGTTTTACAAATGCTTGGGAACAAGTGCAGTAATTTTTATGGGATTTTAATAATTTTATATTTAACAGATAAAAACTTAATATACTTGAGATTGAGGTACTCAATGACGTATATAAGACTGATTTAAATCCATAATCTTCGATATAAAATTGTATCTAAAATAGGCATAAATCGTGAGCAAATGCTTCATTTTTGTATCAAATTCTTCAGTTACTGCAACACTAAAAGTTATCAAAAAGATTTTGCAGCCCCTCCAATTTCGCTGCCAGGACAGCTAGATATCTTCGATTTTTTATCTGGATCCATCGCGATCGAGATAAATTCCTCAGAAATTCTCTTGTCCAATCCCGTGTAAGTTTGCGCCAGATCGACTTGATCTTCGCTGATCATCTTTGGAGATTCGTTTTTAACTTCATTATGCCTTTTTGCTTCCTCCTGATCTGCGAACGGCTGACGTTTGTGCTTTGATCGGAACTAAAATCAAATACTTGTTAATTATAAATAAGCAATTATTTAAGACGATTAAGTAAATTAACAAGCAATCTAATTTGCAAGCGAATTAAAATATAAAGTATCTAAGAATCTGAAAGTTTATAACATCTTTTATTAAACCGTCTTATTTTAGTTATCATTTTATGTTTTATTATTTGTCGAAATATAATAAGGCAACATAATTTAAAATTTTACTTTTTATTAAATCATACTGTTCAATTATCAGGATATATTTTTTATGTTCTTTATTGAATTATATATGATTTTAGTTATTAATATATCAAAATGTTATAACCGTTTTGATTGTATGCATATGCAAAAGTTTACCATTTGAGATGGTGGTCGTCCAGCGTATGGAGACATGTGGGATAACATAGGCATAGCACCATATGGCATCGGAATAGATCTAGCAGGTACAAATCCGGGTGTCGATGGCATGCCGTATGGTGGCTGTAATGAACACAAAGTATTTTTTACATTCCAATGTAATTCCAGTCATTGCACAAACTGTTTTAATCAATATACTTGAATATATCTATACGATGTACTGAATTATATACTTTTTTTTTTGAAAGATTTAAAAACAAATACGCATGCATCTTCTAAAAGTTATCTACGTCTTTTAAAAATTCAATGTGATGGAGAATTTTGTGAGGAATCGAGGAAAAGAGAAATGCAAAGAAGAGGAAATATAAGATAAGGATGTAAGAAATAAGAATGTTGAAATACAATAAATGGTACCATAGAGTAAAAGAGAAGTACCTTGAGAAAAAACAGAGAGAAAGTAAGTGAAGGATGGCAAGAAAAAATTTATAGATGAAAGGAGCATAAGAAAAAAGAGCGAGATAAAGAATGGAATGATAAAAAGAGAAAGAAGTAAGCAAATACGTAAGCGCGAACAGACATCGCGCTTTTATAGGTAATTACGCTGACAAAGAATAATTACAGCTATTGAGGGAGCCGTGAAAAAAGAGACCGAAAGCGTTTTACCTGAATCATCGGGTGTATTGGCACTGGCATCGGGTGTACCACGTAGACAGGTGGCTGTTGGCTTTTCGCCGGCATATGATTTTGCGTGACGACCCACTGGTGAACCATATTGCGCGTCTTCAGGTGACCGTCGATCATCATCTCGTCGGTAGTGTTCGCTCGCAGGCAGCCGCATAACTTCGGTGTCAAGGTCAGGCAGCTATAACCGGATACTAATAGCTCTGCCACGCTAGCCACCAACAGGCCAATGCTCGCTAACAAACCCGCCAAGCCGTTATCTACTTCCATCATATCGCTATTATCGCCCTAAAATGTAAAATTTGGATTTTTAATAATATTTATGATTGCAAAAGCAGTTAGTTTAATGTAATAATAGAAAGCAAATACGAGATTCTCTATATTTAAAAAATTGGAATATCTTCTAAAGTTTATGTCATTTATTCATGTTTTAAAATACCACATCTTAATACTTTTATTTAATAGTTTAATATCCAGAATAATAAGAATTAATTTATAATTAAAAAAATTAATTAGTATGTTGTTTTTCAAATTGTTATATTTGAATATTAGAATTAAATTAAGAAAATGTAAAGAATGTACCGAAAGACTGAGAAATGACACATCCGGTGCTCTCTGTGAATCCCTCACGACCGCCGTTAATGCCGTTATAGTGGCCATGTTTGAGAGGGCGAGAGCGATCAAACTGGCCGCAAGATGAGCAGACGAAAAGGCAGAATTTGTTTTACTGGACGAGGTCGCTAATGTTGCAACCACTCCTAATGCACCAGCCACTAGGGCAGCTGCACCTGCCCAGAGTCCTGCACCAGATCCACCCAAGGATGCACCGTGGACGAGCACCAGGATACCAAAGACGACTAAGACAATACCTGAGTGCAAAATTGCATGAATCACTTATTATCTTCTTCACTCTTGGGAAAGATTAATTTTAATATTTTATATATTAATAAAAAATATATAACATATACATAATATTACATAATAAAATGCAATATAATAATATTATTATAAATTAAATAAAATATATCTAATAATATATAATTTAATATATATAATACAGTTTGTTGCGTGAAAACACTCAATTATACACTCCGTCAAGAAGTAATATTCATAATATCAGCGTGATAATTAATGAAAATCGCGACTCACCAAGTAGTAATTGCCCGCAGGACGTGAACATGAGTAGATTAGAGTCATCCTTGGTTTCGGAAGCCGTTCGCAGATCCTCCTGATTCTCTGCGCGCCTTGATAGGTGATGCTGTTGCTGCAGCTGTTGCTTTTCCGGGATAAGAATATCTTTCGAGTGTTTTGATTCCAGATAGCTCTCCGGTTTCAGTTCAGAATTCACCGAGTCCTTCGATTCCTTCGAGTGACTCGAATTTTGACTTCTCACCGTGGAATCAAGCGCGATTGTCGCTGCGTCTTCCATGATTTTTTCCCGAGCGAATCAATCATATATCACTGACTTTTATAACAATATCCTTCGAATTATTACTCTTGCTCAAGACAATTTTCTGCCGGTAATCATTGAGTGATGCTATCTACTCACAATATTTAAAACTCAAACTGGAGATTAAAAAATTTGATAAGATCTTAATTACGACGACAGTCGTTTTTCAGCCAATTTGCAAAATTTTAAATTTAAGTTATTTCAAGCATACTGCTTACATAAATTTTTTTTATATGGCGTTTAATTCAATTAAGAATTATTTGTAGAATCACGTTAATCATATTATGTTTATATTCTCTCAAATTTATTTAATTTTTATATTTCTTAGTATGTATGGCGCAATTTATTTTATATACAGATAAAATAAAAATTCAATTATCGTAGATATCAAGTAAATTAACGTTAATAAATCTATCTCCTTAAATATTTTTTAAAATCGTGTAAAATCAATAGTAAAATATTTTATATTATTTAAATTGTGTTTTATATCAATTTTATATTATTGTATCTGTTATATAGATCGATAATTGTTAAGTTAATATTACAACTGCGTTGAACTAGAAGTAAATTGTTGAACGTGGTAATCACTGGTGCGACTGGCAACGTACTCAGGATCGTAATTATCTGGAAATAAAACAAAAATTCTATAACATTCATAAAACAAACAAGACAAATATAATATCACAAAGAAATATGTTATATCATTTTATGATATACCTATATAGCTATAACGTGGTTTGCTTTATTGAATTTAACCACTTTAAATGTTTTTTTTTTATATTGCTATACCTAAAACTGTAAAACTTCTGCTAAATTTTTTCAAATTTATTTTTTTCGGAATTACTTAGGTGTGACTTTTAAAATGTGACATCCTGTATGCGTCTGCGTGCATACGTGATAAAAAATACATACATATGAAATATTCAATAATTAGCGATATGAGAATGTATCTAATAAGCTTTCAAACTATACAACAAATTTTAATATTTTTAATATTTATATGAGAGTAATCGGTCACATGCTCTATGAAATTGTGTGTGTAAGCACTATTCTCTCAATTTCAATTATATGCGAATTTAATTAATTTATAGCGAATAAAATGTAGGTTGATACAAGCGCGAATGTCCGCGAATAAACAGGTCAATTATTATTTATGTCATTCATTTTAACTAATTTATTCTGTTTTAATTAATTTTAATTTTTTTGAAAAAAAAGATGTAAGCGATATCATCAATGGCGATCAAAAATTAGGTTACCATTAAATTTTGTTTAAATATAGATCTGGAAATTATGTCGTAATTTTGTTAAAATTTCAAATTGGTTGCTAGAATATCAAGACATCAATAGCAATGGATCATCATTTTTTAGTTTTCAATAAAATTATTTTGATGATCCAACAAATTATTTTCAGATCTGTATCCAGCAAAATTTTTAAATCTTCCAGAAGAATCGTTTTTTTCCCGTGAACATATAAATTAATGAAATTCGTACATTAATTCATATTGGTATAATTTTACTATATTTTATTTTTATGAATGTACATAAAAAAGCTAATTTATTAGAAATACTATGACACTTATTCACCATATTATAAAATTACTTGGACCAATTATTCTATCTCGAACATCTTTTTATTCGGCACGATGATAAGTGACATATGAGAAAAATGACATGTTACTCGAAATTTATGTGAGATTCACTCGTATACATACATGTGGGGAAAGGCATCGGTCGCGTATGAAACGATTAGGATAATTTGCGATCTCGCAGAAATTATATTACAAGTATCGTACAAATCGTTGCGTTAAATCAGAAATTTCCAATTTTATGATCGTCATGGTCAGATTCATTTGTAGATTATTATAACTTTCGGATTAATTACATCCTTTAAATTCATCATATGAATATAATCCCGATAAGGACTTTAAATTTTAAATTAGAGAAAGATGTCTGCTTATTGCATTACATATTTCTCTAATTGACAGAATCATTAAATTTAGATAGTAAAATATGTATTGTATTTCTATAGGATTTTAATAATAACGAATACAGAATTCTCGGAAAATATCAGGATCATCAATTCAGCAAGTATATAATTGGTACAATTACATTTTATGTTGAGATGTTACATTGTGCCATTTTGCGAATTTCTCAGCGAATAGATTTTATGTATGTGTACAAATTTTCCAAAATTTATTTCATATATATATTTAAATAATTTCAGACTGTGTATTATAAATATATATATATATATATATATTGATATATTTATTTTGAGAAACTCAAAATATTGATATATGATAAATTGAGGAATTAATTGCAAACGCTAATTATCTAAAATATATATAGTGAACGTTCTAGCCCCGAGTCTTCTACTTCTCATACTCGTGAATAAACATACGTAACGGACCGTTCTTACGGCTGCGAGGCATTTCTCGAAGCATTTCGAGGGCTTGACGGAGATCATTATTACATTCACCGGAGCGCTCTGGCCAGTACCTACTCCGCGGAATCTTTACACCTCGCAATGCATTTCAGCTCTGCTTTCCGCTTTCTATGAGGTCAGAAAGCGCGTTTACTCCTTTTTGCAATTCAAACAGTGATTTATAAAACAGCAATTCGAACGTAATATATCTCGCCGAGTTCTATTTACGCGCAATGTCCCATTTAAAATTATAGCTGGATACTTCGAAAACAGTAGGTCTCTTGATGGAATCATTCTCCAAATTTAAAAGTTTTCATTTTTTTTTAAATATATTTCTTTAAAATATGTTAATTGTTCTTATTTTACGTATAAAAATTTATGAGATCATTAAGTGAATATTTTGCCGAAATATTCTGTGTGTATATGTTTTTAATATATTCTAATTTAAAACATGATCAGCTATGATGCGTAATATAAAATCTTATAAATTATACTTTCGATGATCTTACTACAATATGCGCATTTTTATGTGCAGAGTGATAAACAAAATTGATTGATAGTCTTACTTCTTATTATTTATATTATAGATGCGCCAATGCATCTGTAATATACAACTGCACGCTTCCTTTAAATGTTTTTATTCGTTTTTTACATTATATGTTTTTTATTATTATGTTTTTATTCGTTTTTTTATGTACAGTATATGCATAAACAATTTTTTGTGATTCGTTAAGTTAACTATCGTACATTTAATTGCTCACACATGATAAAGAAATGCAAAAGAAATGTACAGGAATGCAAGCTGTAATATAACGAGAAAGATTTCGCGTGGCACTTAAACTCACCGATATTCTACTGATCTCAATTCTTACTCTGAAACGCCTTCTCCTCCTTTTCTCAAACAATTGCCATTCATCGTAAATCGCGAATTGTAATTCGTACAATTGTGTAATTATCTTATACAATTGTATGATTATAACATTAGGAAACACGTACAGTTGAACACACACGTGCACAAGAATTCTCGTTATACATTCCGTACTTTCTCAGTTAAAGGTCCATGATCCACGGGAACGGCCGCGAATTAACATACCAGCGTGTTATCACTGTCGGTTCCTTCGACTCACATGATCCACGCATCACACCGATCGATAATATTGAAATATCTCGTGTGATATTCGACACGAGCGATTCACCTGATCTCGCGCGTTTAATGACGATTGCAAAGTCGCGAATCCGAGACTGATCTGTCGAGCGTTCGATCAGCAACTGGAGTCGACTCATGCGTCGAGAAGTATACAGGTAGATATTGCAGGTATACGCTGCTCCTATCTGCTCGCCTCTACGTATCTCCCTTTCTTTCTCTCTCTCCCCCCTGTTTCTCCGACTCACAGCTTCCTTCTCTCGCTCTCACTCGCCTGCTTTTCCCACCTTCGCCCCGTTCCTTTCCGCGCCGCGCCCCGCCGCACAGCGGCGCGCTGGAATTTGCGAAATTGATCGCAAGAGATCGATCACCCCGCATATCTTCGTCGGTGGAAAATGCATTAATATACGTTCGTATACGCATGTTACGCGATTGTAACGTATTCAGGTTTAGAACAGGAATTAATGGCATTCCTGTGCGATTTTTTTTTGAAGCATTGAAATTGTTTAGCAAAACCGGTTCTTTTTCTTATGCAAAACAATCCTCCGCTATTGATAGTGTAGCCGAAAAGAAAATATATGCAGAAATAAATTAAAGACGCAGAATGAAACTTGTTTTTTATTTTTGAGACTGATTTAAAAAAACGGAAAGATTTATATCTTAATATTTTCTTAAATTTAAAGAAGTTTGAATATAAAATATCGTTAAACTTATCTTAGCGATTTTTAACATATAAGTAAAGAGTATAAAGTTCCATTTATTAAAATAATTTAAAATATTCAATGTTGCTAAAAAATTATATAAAATATCTTTACTATCTTTTTATAAATAGGTATATTTTTGTATACATATTGATAGCTGCAGAAAAATTTTTACGATGTATGACCCTCGTTGAGGGTAATTGAAATTTTATAAAAGATTCAACTAAAATTATAATTTTTTAATCCAAAGTAGATTTTCAAAAACAAAGATATATGAAAAATTACATCTATATTCTACATTTTTATTTATTTTTGTACGTTATCTCGCTTTCTTCTCGCATGGTATCGTTGCGCAAGATATCCCATATTTTCAGAGAAGCAATTCGTACAATGCACTTAACTCGTTTTTTATAAATCGTTTCAATTATTAATTTGTGAGCTACAAAGATTCTGCGAGGTCAGATTTTGGCGTTTCGGTTAAAGGTTACGATTTTTCAAAAAAAAGAAAAATTAAAAAGAAAAGGTCAGAATTGTTTATCGAAGTCAATTTCCCTCTTCTCAACACTTTCCGTCAGTCCCCTTTTATTCTAACAGCACGTGCATAGACTGAAAATGTCACTGTGCACACGCACGGGATAACATTTTCATTCTACTGTGCGTGATCATACAGCAAAGTAAAGTAACGGAGAAACAGCACGAGAGGAGACGCTAAGTGTACGCTATTAATATAATTAAGAGCGCTAAGAATAAAGAAATGCTGGGAACGCAGAGGTGATAAAAAATAGGAGGAGGGTTGACTGCACTCATTAACTAAGTGTCTGAGTATGATCTCTCAACCCGGAAACGTATATTAAAGTGCAGTTATTTCTGCCATTATACACACGTTGTAATTTGCCAGATGCAGCGAGGTTAGTCAAAAAGTATCCGTTTTTTTCCATTAAATTTAAATTAAATGTAAGAAAGCGCTTCTACACCTTTCATGTAGCTATATGATAAGTATAAAAAATAATGAATTGTATGAATAGAAATGAAGCAAGCGCTTTAGAATAGAATAGAAATCAAAGTATTTTAAAATATAAGTACGAAGCAAAAGCGTATCTCGTATGAAGGATCTCTTTTTAACGAATGCGAATAATCTCTGAGTACATCAAATATTGTTAATATTGTTCAACCAAGCGTGAGAACATCATTATATTTAATTTCTAATTTTTGATCTTTCATATCTTCTTCTTCACTGTGTTTTCTATCCACTTCCAACTTTTAATTTTTTTTCATTATTAAATTCTTTTTCTCTTTCTTACGAAGGAATAGGTATTGAAGAAATTCAGCTCAATTTGAAAAACAAGGAAACGCT